GCTGCTCGGATGTCCCCTCTGGTCTCTGTGCTGGCTGTGACACAGTGTGTGCATTTTGCCTATGGGCAGTGCACGGCATGCCCACAAGAATTAAAAGAAATAAGAGCATTCAACAGCTCAGCCTATTGGTGTGTTTGGAGTAGGGGCAGCAATCGCAGAGCTTTGCCAAGAGGATGGAGCAGGATTGGCCTCACCTGCACAGATTGGGCAAGGGAGTGCTTCATCTCCAACACCCCGAGCCCCTCACATCAGTAATGCTGGGTCATGTATTTGAGATCTATTAAACTGCGAGGGAATGTTTAATTATCTGTTTAATGATGCTTAAAGCATGTCGGAAATATTATTCTGAAGAGGAGAAAAGTGCACAACCTCCTCTGCTCTCAGAGCTGTTCATTACCCCAGATGGTTTTGTGTCAGTCACAGAACTGAGGTTCTCATTTTGTTCCCATTCACACCCCACTGCCTCTGGTCCTGAACTGCTGAAAGAGGCCAGTAAAGAGGGGCAGAACAAATGCCAGCAGCACACATCCCAGCAGTGAGGCCTGGGGGATCCAAGTTTGAGCACTGCCTGGCAGCTGAACCACGGGGACAATTAGATGGAGACTTCCAAGGGATGCTCTGCACTGTGGACCAGACCCCCTCTGAGCCAGCAGGCAGCCGATACCATAGAGCACAAGGGGCTTGTCCTGAGACCCACACCATACCCTCAAAGCCCCAAATGAAAGCGCAGGAGCCCCCCATCCCTCTGGAGCTTTGGCTGGGGAGAGGTAGCAGGTGCTGTGCTCAGTGACCTGGCAATGCTGAGGCAGAGCACCAAAAGGACCTCCACTCCCTCCTGACAGCTTTACAGAGCCCACATTTCACCAGCTACAAAGCGCTGACACTCACGCTCCCACTTAATTCCGGCACTGCAGCCCATTCTGGGGCTATGAGCCTTGGAAAGAGCTGGTCTGGTTCACCCAGAGGGGAAGTGTAAATCCTCATCCAGCTCCTGGCAGGGAACACTGCCACCTCCATAGCCTGCTTTTGTGTTCACATCTCCTGCTTGCAGTGAGGGGATGGAGCTCCGTCCCATGGAGATCAACTGGGGAACCCATAGGCAGCTGTGATGGAGAAGTCAGCACAGAGAAGACCTTCTACTGGTGCCCCAGAACATTTTCCCACAAAGGGAATCCTGAAAGTGCAAGCCCTGAAACCAGCTTCTGAGTCCTGCATTTGCTTAAGAACAAACTTTGTTGCAAACTGGTTGAATGAAGTTTGCTCCCAAGCAGACTCTTGTCTCGGGTGCCTGTTTCAAAGGGTTTGGAAAGCCAGCCTATTTCTGGAAAGAACAAAGTGCCATTTCCTGATTTATTTCCAGTTTGAGTGGGACTGTGAAGTCCTTTTTCAAGGTTGAGGAGGAGGGCAGAAGGATTATCCCACAAACAGCTGTGGTGCCTTGAGCCCTAAAATACTCTGTGAAAGAGGATCCTGAGCCCAGCCAAAAGCTTTCCATTTATTGTTCTTTGTCAAGCACCTGCGCTGCAGGATGTCATTTGTCTCCATGCAGAGGACAGAGCTGTGATTTAAGTTCCCAAAGAACACTGTACATCCGATGACACCAGCTAGGCATCCCAGCATCACTCCAGACTAACACAGAAAGGACAAGCTGGAACCTAGAGGTCCTCGGGGACAGGAAGAGAGCAGGGCAGCAGAGGTACATCTCCTCTGCCCCATCATGAATCCCAGCAGCAAAAACTGGCAAATCCCAACATTCATCTTTTTGAAGTTCCTCCATTTCTGAGGTCATTTACCTCCTTTTTGGGGAGAGAAACAAAGAGAGCTCAGAACACTGCACAGGAGCAGCTCCAGGGTTGTCCCCTGTCACTATGGGGAGGGGTGTATGAGCTTCTTGGGTCCCACAGAAAGATCCTGTGCTGGAGTCCCACGTTCATTAGCGAGGCAATTATCCTCCATGCAGGTCCTCCAGAGGCCTTGCAGATCAGCTTTACATGAGGCAGAAAACAATGACATCCCAGTGCTTTCCAAGCAATTCAATTTTCTCGTACTCAGGAGAGCAAGTGTATACTCTCTTCTCTTCCAAAACACTCCACAGCCTGGATTTTAGGAATAATTATTGCTCTTCCTCCAGTGGTACCACTAACAGGGATCCTTGTGGTGCCAGGGCACCACAGTTCAAGCCCAGTTCTCCTGAGAGCATCTCCTGCACATCAGAGCCCTGATGGTGCTCCTGCTGCTGCCCGTGCCCTGTTGGTGGATTGGCCAGGCTGGGGCTCCGTGCTGAAGGCTGGGAAGGACGGGCCAGGGCTGCTGCAGCACTGCACTTGGCAGACAAAATGCTCTGTAACTTTTTCCTAGCTCAGGAAAGAATAACAACAGAGTAAAAAATAGTCTTTGCGTGCCTCCTGCACTAAAAGACAGTAGTGTGCATTATGGCTCATGCCTGGTTCTCTCAGTGTCTCCCCAGGATGGAGCTCCTCCAGAAAACAAGGCAGCCCCGTGAGCAGCCCTGGCCCAGGTGAGGCCATAATTCAGCTCTGTCAGCAGCTCCACACCAGGACCACCCCCACTGTGTGCTCTGCCCATCCTCATCTCCCCACCGATCTCACTACCACAGCCACGGGGATCTGGCTGGAAATCAATAGGGTACTGGCTCACACCTGGGGAAAGCCGAGCAGCACTGCAGGGTGCAGAAACAGGAGAGCTGTCTCACACCACACTGCAATGCTTCCAGAGGACAGCCAGGCATACCTGCCCCACTGACCCACCTCTACCCCAGGGTGACCCTTTGGGATGCAGTGGCCACACTGAGCACGCCAGGCTGTGCACCCAGCAGCACCACGTGGGCTCAGCAATGGGCTCATAGATGGATCCTGTCCTCTTATCCAATACAGCACAGGTCAGTCTCATCCTGCACCTTCTTCCCATCCAACAGGTTTGTATTTCAGGCTAACGATACACCAATTGCTTTTACAACAAATCCTCTCAGAGATCTCTCAGATGGCTACTTGGTGCTTGTGGCCTGCTCTGGATGCAGCATCATGGAGCTGCTGCTAACCCCACCATAAATATGTTTTTAATGCTTAATTTGCATCTCACTCACATTCAATAACTGCTCTGGGAAATCTAAAGTGCATCTCAAAAACGGAACCACAATCATTATTGAATATTAGATACTATCACTGGAGTATTAAAAACATATTTCTGTATAGAAATAAAGTTTGCATGCACAGTATGGAGCCACACCACACACATTGTGTGCCATGCACCGACAGAACGACCAACTCTCTATTACAGCACTAACAACAACCCGCATTTCCATTGCATTTCCCATCAGAAGGATCCCAGTTCAAGCAGGAGCAGCATGCAATGCACAGCCCCTGCCTGAGCCCTGGGGGCAGCTCAGTGCCCAAAGGGGCACCAGGACCACCGTGGTGGTCCTCAAAGCCTGAACCACTGCAGCTCTGATGCTTAAGATCGCTGCATGGGTAGCCACAAGTTAAAATATCAAACCCAGTAGTGGCACTTGGGTGCATGAATGGAGAAATGTGCTCCTAAGGGGCCACTTAGCTGCATTCACGCTCTGTTTTACCTGGTTTGCTCGCTCCAACATGGTGTCTGCACAAGCAAATGAGACTTGCAGCTGAGCAGAACCTTTTCAAAGCCGGCTCCAATTAGGCTTACTCACAGGATTAGTGTATATATTCTAACAATGCAGATAGTAATAAATAAAGAGAGAACATGCATTAGTTCCACCCGGGGCCCTGCAAATACTCAGAATTAGCGAGTCAGTGTAAGAATAGAGCATGCAACCATTATTTCCCCATCCTCCAAATTTTCATCTCCCAATGGATGCACTCAAGGGAACAGTTTGAGCGCGTCTCCGTGAGACACTTTCTCAGTAATTTGACTGTAAGGGTTTTGCTTCTGCGCTCCCAAGCAATTGGAGAGGAATCAGCACTTCCCTTGATCATGCAGAACTTTGATATCACCAGGCAGACCTGCTTCATGCCTCCAACACTTGCATGCTTTGCTGTCACAGAGGTGATGATCATAGACCCCAGCAGCCGTGGAGCGCTGCTAAACAGAGGCACACTGATCTGCTGCTAGAGCCCCTTCAGATGCTGCCTGCCCTATTGCTCTGGTTTTGCCTTTCTTAGGCTAAAAGCAAATTCATTTTGTAGAGAAAGGGTCTGCAGTACAAGGGCAGCAAAGGAGCAGCACAATGCTCAGCTCTTCACATGCCAGGACTGAGTCTGAACACCAGGCTCTTCCCAAACTCATTAAGGTTAATAAACTGGCTTCTCACACAAGGGCAAGATTATCCCTTGGTCTTCCCCACCACAGGATTTTGCAGGGCTACAGACAGGCTCAGGTGCTGGGCAAACTGATGGAAGAGCAATGCAACCCAGCAACCTCAATGCTCTCACTGCTTGGTAAATCCATATGTTTTAAATTTCTAAATCAGAAGGTAGAAAGAGAAAAGCTGATCTGGTTCTACATTATTTCCTGTATATGTTATCTCAAAATCATGCCAAAATCATTTTCCTGATCCTGTCATCCTGGAATAAGAAAAAGCAAGGCACAACATATGGAGGTGTTCCTGTGGCACACTGAGCCACACAGCTGGCCACAAGGAGAGACCCATTGCCATGCGGCAACGCCTTCATCCTTCCCAGCACCAAGAGGAAAGTGCCTGGAGGGGGAGGAGAGCAGCCCAGTGCGGGGCACAGGGACACCCCCGTCCCAAAGCTGACAGGCAGCCGCTGAGCCATGCTGGCAGATGGAGAGGAAGCAGCAGCTCTCATGCTATTTCAGTCTTAGCAAGAGCTGCGAGGAAAATAAAAATCACAAAAAAATAGAAATACTTGACAGCAAAACGTAAGACTCCCATTCCCGTAAGCCATTTCCATCCAACGCTTGCTGCAGAGCCCTTTGTCCCACTGCACCATGCACCAACGGGGCCGCAGCCCCTGCTCCCTGCACAGGGCACACACAGCCATGCAGAACCCAGTGCCGGGGGCGGTCTGCAGAGCTGTCAGGGAATCTGAGAAATCTGAGTGTGAAATCAGCATGTTTTGTGGGACAGCGGGCACGGACTGCCCATATGTTACCCACACACATCACCAGTCATCTGGGAAATGCACACATCTTAAAGGCTTTCATTTCTCCATTTTTCCCTGTTGGACTTGTCAGAGAAATTTCGCTGCCAGCCCATATACCTTCGCAAAAAAACGCACGGCTCAATCTTTCACAGATGGACTTCCCTCATGTCTGGGCTTTGATCAAGGCAAGAAAGCAGCAGGGGGGGGATTATTACCTAGAAATGTGTCTGTGGAAGCATTTGTGCGTGCAGCCACGCTCCGGTGCCTCTTAGGTTGCTTTCCTCACTCGTGTCCGTGCCATCGCGGCTGTGATGGGAGCTCGATATTGGGGTTGCCCAGGGACAATGCTCATACCCAGAAGCACAGCATGAGTGGGTGCCCCTGGGGGCTTTGTGCCCCTCTCCTCCCTGCAGGGCAGGCAGACATCACACACTGGCAGGAGCAGGGCTCTGACTTTGCCAGAAGAAAGGCAATGGAGAAAGCTGAGCTGTGCCAACTGCGTCCTGTTCAGGGACAACTGAGGCACACCACCTCCGTATTATTGCTCCCATCCTTCCATCAGGAGGGAGAGAAGGTGCAAATCTCAGCTCAGGGATCCTCAGAGGCCTCCTCCCAGCCCCTTGGACACGCTTTGTCTTTGGGTTCTGAATAAATGTAATCAGAGAAAGCACTGAGAAAACATTTTTGACTACTACTTGCCAGCATTGGAGGGACAGCCCAGCGTTGGTAGTTCACTTTGCTGGCTGTGCTTCCATCAAACCATTACTGCTTTAATCTTGGGTGAAAGAATCATATCCAGCCCCCAAGGATGCGAAGTCTGCACTGGAGCACTTCACAGAGGGAAACAGAGTGGGAGTAGCAGGGCTGGACTTGACAGCATGGATTTGCCCAGCTCCACTGCTTCTCCTGGCACAATGCAACCGAGTACTTGAATCCCTTGCAAAAACAATGTGCACAAAGCACTCTGCCTCCCACCAGGCTTTTGCCACAGCATTGTCTCAAGCACACGGCGGTGCTGAGGATCACAGGGGTGGGGGCAGCGTGAGTTGTGCAACCAGGACACAGGGCTGCTGCCAGCAAGGGGACATCGTGACAAACCCCAGAGCCCTGGGCAGACTCTGGGAAAAGGAGTGGAATCACAAGCTCATGAAGGCTGCTGAGCCTGGCCAAGCCATTCCTTGCATGCCCAGACCGTGCGCTCCAGCCTGTTTCCCACGCGGCAGCAGGTTTGCTATGTGCCTTCGGCAGCCGCCCCTTCCTGCTCATCGCAGCCAGAGCAGCTCAGGCAGAAATCCCCCTGGCAGTGAGCACAGTTGTGAGTGGGAGCACAGATGGCACACGCACACCCCCTGATGCCCACCCCTCCCTTGAAGGTGACCACAACCCATCATCCTGCAGCCGCCAGGGCTGTCAGGTCTCCCTCGCCCGTCTCCGGCGTGACGTTCCAGCTCATTAATTTTCCCCATTAGACGCTCCTGAGGGAGCTAAGGAACTTGGGTGCGATTTTTCTTCCTGGTTTTCAGCCCCTGAGCACATGTGAGAAAAAACACACGCAGTCCCCATTCGCCTCTTCCCTCATCACCCGCGTTAGGGTTTGACCTCTCTGCTTTCTGCCCCCATTTTTAAATAATGTTGAAAGTTTGTCACTGGACCTCTGTCATTCTTCAGCCGTGATCCACTTTAGAAGGACGAACGGCAGAGCCAAAGAAAACATTGTGCATGGGACCCGAACAAGAAATACCAGACCTGCTTTCTCTGGCCTTAAAAGCACTGTGTGTTGGAGACCATACGTCCTGTCTGACAGGGGCTGCTCCGAAGGCTGTCCTGGGAGAGAAATGGCCTAGGAAATACCCTGAAAAATTAATTATTGCATGTTACTGCCTCCAGAACAAATGAGATAACATTTTTTGCACTAATTGGGTAAACGGAAACTCTTGTTTCCACAGGGAACTTGGGCTCCGTGTAATAGCCATTAATCAGAGGGAGAAGGGAGCCCCGGGGCATTGTGGTGCCCCCCTACCTTCAAAACACTTCCTGGTGCCCCAAAGCTGTGAGACCGCCTGATGCCAGCACTGGGGTGCAGCCCATGACCCACCATACCCTGCTGCTGGCTGGCCATGCATTCAGCTTGTCCTGCCTCGCTATGTGGCCACAGGCAGACAACCCCATCCTGCACCACCTCAGTGTACAACTATGCCACCATTCCATTGTGCCACCGCTGCCCCCTGCAACACCCCTCCACCTGCCAACACAGCCCAGATTCCCTGCACACCCCAGGGCTGCTCTTAACATGCCTCCCCCCAGCGTCTCACCCTCTTTGCAGCACAAGGCAATGGCTTGTGCCTGACATCCCATCTGGGGCCCATCAGCTCTGACTAACCTAGAGATGCCACTAATGAGAATCCTGATATTTCATTTAAAGGGGCTTCTGTCACCTCTTTCCTCCAGAAATGATAACCACTATGCAGGAACACTCCAGAGCTGTAGAGACCCAACCAGCACTCCAGGCAGCAGCCTCTTAAAGCTGTCTGTTCAGACACCGATCCAGAGAGGCATTGAGCCCTCTCAGCCCTTTGCAATTAGCAATTAGGGCCAGGGCCAGGCCGGTGGCTGCAGGGGATGAGCTGCAGTGCATACAGCTGCTTGCAATGCCCCATTTCCCAGCATAATTCCCCTTGTCCCCTCCTGCTCTCCTCTGGGGCTGGAACTTGTTTTTTGTGCACATGCACACAGTCCTGAAGGATTGAGGTCTCGGAGATTAAAAGGCACCATTATGGGAGTCAAACATAAATTTTCTTTTTATTAAGCAGAGTAAATGTCATCAGTGAAAAAAAGCAGAGGAGAATGGAGAGAAGAGGAGGATTTCATTCCAACTTCCCTTTACTTTCGTTCCTGCTCCTGGCTCTGGCTCGGTGCAGTTGTTTATTTTAAAGTCCAGTAGGGAAAGCTCATATCTTCCCTGCATTCTGCGGGGATTTGCTGCACCATTACCATAAAGAACAGCGTATACCATGTCCGTGATGTTTGGCTCAAGTCCTGCTGCTGCGACTCCTGTTTGCTGCTTTTGGGGGAGACTGGCACAGCCAAGAGGGGCAGGAGTAGTTTGCCAGGTGCCAGAGCCACCTTCCCCTTATCCCTGGTGTTGTCCCACTGCTGGTGACAAGGAGCAGAGGTGGCAGCCTCCAGCTGAAGGCTGAGGTGGCCGAACCTCTCCATGCACCGCATAACAGCCAGACAGCAGCTGGTTGCATGCACCATGCACCCCTGAACCAGCCAGGTCCTGCCCCAAGCAATGGGAGCAGTGAGACAGCAGGGACAGCCCATGGGAATGCAGGGACAGCTCCAGCTCCACTGTGTTGCCCCTGCAGTGGGGGCTCCAGGCGATGCTCTTTGGTTCAAAGGCCAAAGTCCTGTCGGTGGGGCTGAAACTTTTCCCTTAACCTGATGAGACAGAGGCAGATTTGTGTCACATGCCCGCCTCATCTAATTGCCCAGTGCACCAACTCTGCAGCCCCGCAGGCACAGTGAGTCCAGGCAGCTCACAGCACCCTGGGGACAGCAGCACTGCAGGGACCTGGGGGCACGCAAGTGCGCATGGCACTCTTCACAGCACAGAATGCCCCAGAGCAGCAGGGATGCCAGGGTTCAGTACTGGTGTTACACAGCATATTTCAAGGTGCAAAAATGGGAGATGGAGAGCTCATGGGAAATGTTTTTCCTCCTTTCCAGAAGATTTAATTCTTCTGTTGAGCATTTGTCTGAGATGGTTTTATTCACACATCACAGCAGAGAAGTGGCTGAACAAAGAGGTTCCTTTCTTTATACTTCTCATTGTCTTTGTAGGCTGAGGAATGCAGCTGAACTTAGTGGGTACAATGCCCTACACACGTGTGTGTGTGTGTGTGTGTGTGTGTGTGTGTGTGCGCGCGCGCATAGGAGGGCTCAGGGCTCAGAGCAGGGCCAGAAGCATGGTGAGCTGAGCTCACTGCTCCAGGTGGAGTGCTTGCTCAGGTGGGCTGCATCACAGTGTGGGGGAGCACTCAGAACACATCTTCAATGAACGACCACTGTGCACAACAAATCTGCTGGAGAGTGGGCTTCTGGCACAGCCAGGTGCTCCTTCCCAAGGAGACCTCCATTCTCCTGCAGTTAACTCTGTGTCCTGCAGCTAGGCAGAGTGAATTTGTTCAATCTTCAGCTCTGCTGGACTGACCCACGCTCCAGCTCTGCCATCACGATGTTCCCATCCACTCACAGGCAAAGGTGCACAGGGCATCAGCTCTGCACCCAGCTCCACAGGTGCTGCTTGGCAGGTCTGTACATTTCCATTCCACATCAGCCTGCTGGCCCCAGTGTGTCCTGCCAAGGTCCCACCGCCCATCACTGGGAGCATGCAATAAGCAAATGGATAAATCATGCACCGCAGAGGATCACCTCTTCCCTGACCTCTGAATAAATCAGCTTATTCCCTGTACCATGACATCCAAGCACTCTTGCTGAGCTCTGCACTCTAGGAACGGTACGCCCAGCACATTTGGGGCTGCAGCTCCACTCTCCAGCCTGGACATCACAGGTACACAACCCCTGAAAATCACACCCAGTGCATCCCTCAGCCCTGGGGCCAGTCAGGCAGCACAGCAGCCACTGGTCCCCTAATCCTCTCCTCCAGAAAAGCAGAACTATTGTGTCCCATGATGGCAAGCCATTCCATCACCGTGTCTCCACACAGGGGCTGACCATGCCATGGTAGCACACAGCTCAGAGGGTTACAGCAGCAAAACATATCCTAGGCCCTCAAGTCCTAGGAAGGCTCATCAGTGCATTTTCTCCCTTTCCCTGATGAGTTCCCAAAGCGCTCACCTCCCTCACTCTGCCCCCCTCCCACCCCAATCCCCCAACTGGCTTCCTCCTGTTATCTTTGTCAGCAAAGAGAAACTGATATGGTCCATTAGCTCAGCCCCCTCCCCTGATGTCCCCCCACTGACAGGGAACATGACACTGCACTGCCGAGCACAGATGCGAGCTCTCCATCCTGACAAACACGTGTTGAGAAAGCATTTTTGACCAAGTTCCATATCCAGGGCTGGTGTCAGACAGCAGAGGTGGAATAAAAGGACCTCTTGGCTGGAGACACTGGAGATAAGCAACTACAGGAAGCCTGCAAGTGAAAAAAGATGCTAGCCTGAGAAATTTTAGAGGAGAGAGCAGCGACACAAAATAATTGCTGAAAGAATGCAGCTTGATTGCAGACAGCAGGGAGAGTCTCAAATCCTGCATGGAATGAAAGCCCAGGATGATAGCTTGAGGGGAAGAAAAGTTATCAGGCTGGCAGGAGTGATTTATTCAATGGAGAGGATTAAGAGTCCAAAAGTTAATGCGTGAAATGTAGAATAGGGAGGAGGAGGGCTACAGGAGGGAGTGCAGGCGGGGGAGGCACGAGGGTGCGTGGGGTGTTGGGTGCTACTTGAGGTGTCGGGTGCTGGTGGAGATGTTGGGTGTTGGTGGTGGTGTTGGCCATTGATGGCCATGCTGAGGCCTTGTTCCCCACACCCATCATGGGGGTACGGTGCTAGCACTGCTCTGCCTCCAAAATAAAGGTGGTTGGGTGTGGTGGAGGACAGATGGATTCTCCCCAAGCCCTCCACTCTCTTCCATCTGTCAACGGAAACCAAGGGGATGGAGGATGCTCTCCCAGACCCACGCCAGGAGGCCATGAGGGGGGTTGGGATTGCAGTTGTGTCACCATGCACACAGCACAGGGCTGAGACTGCGAGGCCAAGCATCCCGCTCCTCCCCACACGCACTCACAGTCCTTCATCTCTCCGCAGGCTGCCAGCAATAGGCCAGATCCTGTCCCAGCTCAGCCCCTGTGGTGGTGGAGCAGTGCCAGCCTGACCCCACATCCCCACATTGTTCATTTTGTGCTTCCCACATTCAGCCTTGCTCTTCTCCCAGGTGCCTCGCCAGAGAGGGAGGGAATCCTGTCAGTCGCTAACAAAAATACTGTGCAAATCATATTAAAATAAAAGGCTCTTGTAATTTTTAGTGTTTATTGAAGTGGTTTCTCTTTATTTCTTTTCTTTTGGCTCCTCAAACGTTTTGGAGCACAGCTGCCAAAAATGAAATGTTTGACCAGCCCCAGTGATGCTTCTGTTGGCCTCCTTCCCTCCTCTCTTCTCTGTGCTGTGCTTCTCTCACATCGCTTCCCTGTCCATCCTTCCCAAGACCCCACACCCCCATGCCTCCCCACCTTCTGCTTTGCCCCATCACTCTCTGCTGTCCTCCAGCTCCACACTGGGATCTCTACAGTATGGATACCACAGCAGCCCTCATCGTCCCTGTGGTGCTTAGGAAATGGCAGCAGTGGCTCTCTATGATGGGTTGTCACAAGCTGTAGTTCATCACTGAAAGGGGGAAAGGTCTCCATCAGCCTGTGCCCCCCAGCACCCACAGGATGCTGCCAGCCCATGGCATATCAGTGTGACGCTGCCCCTGCGGGACACAGGGTTGCATGGGGACATGGGACACAGCAGTGTCACTGTGCAAGGATCGGCCTGTCCCCACCTGGTTGTCAGTGCCTGGTAGGTGCACGTGCACCACTCCACGCCGGTGGAGTTAATGCTGAGTGCAGGGGCTCTTGGCATGTTTAATCCCCTAATGGTATTAATTCCCTATTAAATTAAATTGCACAAATATGTTGCTGGTTTGGTCTGGGGAGGAGGGGTGGTGCCTCTCCCTCCCCCACCCTTTTATCCCAGTAAGGACACTGGAGCATTTGTTAGCAGACAGAGAAAGAAAATCCTACAAAGAATCGCAGCATTTATGCAGATAGAAAAGACAAAAAAATGGCAGATTATTCTTCAAAAAAGCAGAAGGGAACTCCCCTTCTCCTGCACAGCAGCCCCTGTGCCCCGGGAAGCAGCCCTGCCGCAGTCACAGCATGTGGGCACACAAAGGGCTGCCTGGTGCGGGGTGGGTACAGGGCAGCACAGAGCCCAGCAGCTCACCCAGCCGAGCCTGGCCCCGCTCACATTTCAAAGCTGTTGTTTGAAATCCAATGTCCCTTTTTTCTCATTCATATATGCATTCAAAGCAAAGTTATGACAAAAATCCAGCGCGGAGCTGAAAGCGAGAGCTTGAGTTGCATTTTGGCACGGGCTGGGCTCATCCCTTCTGCACGAGGCTCCTTGCCAGAAGACATCTTGGAGTGGAAGGAATTCTAGAAATCAGGATTCTGCATATTATCGGGTTTTATTTGTCTCATTCAGGGAGGTGAGAGGAAGCAGCAAGAGGCTGCGTGTTAAAAGATCTGCTCTGGGATTTACCTGCGACTGACGCAGGTGAAAAGTGTTGGATGATGGATTCTTCCCAGTGAATGAAGAGACAAAGGGGAGTCTCTTCCCTGTCTGACACTTTGTTAGTAGCGTATTTTCAGGCAGGAGAGGTTAAGTAAAAAATCTGGTCTGGATCA